GCTAAGATTTATTGTACGTAAATCACATGCTCTGGGTGGCCTTATAATCGTGTTAGGATGAAATGTTATGAATAGATGTTTAATCTTAAATATATTTCATCATATACCTTGAAAAGCAGCATTATAGTTCAAGTTGAGAGGTTTCTTTGTATAACAATGCAGATACATGTATGTACAGCTGGGTGTCGATTGAGTTTGAACTGGTTTTGAGGATGGCACACTTGGCATTGCTCTAGGATCTTTCTGCACATGCATTTAGGTGACAAAAGACTGCAAAGAAAAGGCTGTGTGGAATGTCCTTGCATGGAGATGGATTTGACGTGTTTTATGCAAATAACCTCGCCACACTCATTTAAAAATACTCAGTTAAGAACAAATTCATGTGCTTACATAAATTAGGTGGAAACAATCGTGAGAAGTGTACCTGTGCTTACAAATACAAAAGAATCCCTGCAGTTTTAAGTGAATGAGACCCAGTGTCTTGTGCTTCATTCGTGAGCAGGCCCACAAGGAATCTGCATTGCTGTTACATTTACTCTACAAAGTTGCCCCATGCCTTGCGTGTTCACACTTTGCATTAATCTGATAATGCTTTCAGCTATCAATAAGAGTGTTCCATTTCACGCAATTTATTCTGCAGATTTTTTTCTTAAAATGTGAAAAAGTCTGCAGATTCCATCTGGGCCTTCTTATGAGTTGCAGAAACCATGTAAAGTTGTTTTAATTGTTTTGTGTGTGTGAGAGAGAGAGGGAACTGATAGAATATACTCTTCCAGTAACGCCTCCTGAAGAAGTGAACAATGAACATGATGTGAACAGGAAATTATGTTATAAAGCCTTGCATAAGATTTCCGATACAGCTGTGACAACTGACTACAACCACCTTAACCCTGTGCGCGTTATATGCACTTAACACAGAAAGACTATGGAACTGTGTTCTCCAATCATGGAAATGAACCCGTGAGCAGTACCAATGAAGCTGAAAAAACTCACAGAGCAAGGGAATGATCTCTGTTGATATATTCCCAATGTCAAGTTTTCCCTGCTTGGAAAAAAGCAAAGTCGTTGAAGGGAATTCCTACGGTGCTATTCAGTGTCTCAAAAACACGACAGGTCCCACGAGGCAATGCTCCAGCCATTCAGTGAATGCGTTGGTGCAATGGAGAGGCAGCGTTGAAATAATGTTGCTCATCAACACAGAAAGAACACTGACAAAATACTCACAGCATTGACAGCACTAGTGTTGTGGAGGAACAATTATTGCCTTAGAACCAAAATGTACATTGTTGCACATGATGTTTCTGTAGATAATTGTTTTTTTGTTTGTTTTTTTTTCAAATTATTATATTTTATTTGATATTAAGTTTAAAGAACTTGAACCTTTATGTTAAGAAATGTAAATCGTCTGACCTGAAGCCGTCCCCTTCTGTCCAGTTACACAAACACACACACACACACACACACACACACACACACACACGCTTGTCTGCATATATGCTTATACATGATCATGTGCACACACACACAAAAACTAATGTTACAATAATCTTAATGCTTTAAAGTCAGCAGTAAGACTGTGTGAACTGTGATGTATGTGAGCATCTATTGGTCTGTGTGTGTTACACAGCACAGGTCATGTGACTGTATTTCTGTATGTGCCAAGTTCCTGTTGATTCCACTCTAGATGATCTATGAGAACTATGACGTATGACAATGTGAAACATGATTTATTCACCTGTTATATAATCAGCCTAATAATGAAGGACTCTTCACTCTCAACAGTGATTAAACTCATGTCAGGTCAATTAAATGTATGGTCTCATTTGTTCTTACTCTCTCTTCCTCTTTTCTTGTACATTAGACACATTAGTAGTGTGCTCTCTGCACTTATAAAAGTGATTAAGTGAAAAGTTATAAAAGTGAAGTGTTTTTTTGTTTTTAAAGGCCAATGAAAGTCGATATATAGTTATGTAGATAGAAAGGTCAGAACTATGTTATATTTGAGCTTCTTCATAATCGAACATTGCCTCAGCCAACTTCAGGAGATACCGTGGTTTTTAAACAATACTGAAGCAATTGCCATAAACGTTTTTGGTTGTTTTTCCTCATCCAAATGATTTATTATACTCTACATACATACCCACATACATAAATAAAGAAACACATACATACAGTAGTTAAAATTAAGTTTTAATATGTAATGTACAAATATTAAAATTAAATATTTGAAAGGGAAAATATCCAAGGCTGTCCAAATTGGAAATTAAAAACTCAAAACACAAGGAGGCGCCAACACTTATGTTAGTGGTCTACTCTTCAAATGCCATATTAAAGCAAGAAGCCGTGGTTTACAGTTAATTTATATCAGCTAAGGGGCGTTGTTAGGCACGACGCGAAGCGGAGTTTCCATATACGTATTCCATATACGTAGTAAGGTTTCACAAAATAAAAAAGAGCAAATAAAGTGTAATGATATGAATAAAAACAGTATTCTTCCACCAATCAATGTAGTTCCTCAGAATCAGTTGTGGTTGCAACAAAGTGGTTGCCGAGCAACACACAAACGTAAACAAAGGTGTATGTTTGTAGAGTAATTTACAACAGATCCGAACGTGGCTCAGAATCAAGGACCGGAACTATCCGTTTTATAATGGCTGATTAGGTTGCTAATTTGTGTTTTTATAAGCACATCGAAAAGTATAGGCTGTCTATATTTTGTTTTATTAAGCTGTTATGCATCTTGAAAAAGGTGGTTGCTACAAGTGGACTAAATTGGACTGTTGCCAGGGACATTAAATATAATAAATCATAAATATAACCTTTATATTTTACAATTGATATTGTAAAATTGTCATATTTAAGTAAAAGTCAAAAGTGAAAGATGCCTTTATGGATGTCTCAAGTAAAGTTAATTGTCAATTATTATTATTATTATTTTTAAATATTTAGGTAGGCTAATTGTATTAAACTAACTGATATTAAAACTACTTGAGTATCAAAAAAAGTAGGTAGGCCTACAGGTAGATTTTATAAATAATGGCACAGCTGACCATCGTTGCTGGACTCTATTTAGAGCAAATTACTCAGGATTAATCTTAATGTTAATTTATAAATATACTTTTCTTTAGTATTAGATCATGTTTGTTCTTAATGATGCTACATAGTTGTCTTTTATTAATGTAAAACGCATAGTTGGCATGAAGTAACATGTACTGGAGAAACTGGTAATACCCAGCTAAACTTAGGAGCATAAACATAAAGAAGAGACTTGTTCTGTGTAAATAGCCTGTTGGAGGTTTATTTGGTGTGCTTCTGAAGATTCAGATTCAGGTTCAGATTGATGATTCGTGAAGTGAATCATTTGGACCTCTTTGGAGAGCCTCAGACCTTCGGAGTTTTGCTCCAACCTTGGCAAAGTTGGCAATCCTTGATCTTTGTGAACCGGTTTGACCAAACTGATCAATTGATCTTTAATTTTTTTTTTCTGCAGATTGTTCAAAATTCATACAAAGTTGTCTTTCATTTGTGAAGATTATAGCCGATGAACGGGAATTATTATTTTTTTTTTGCAATAATCCAAAAGCCAGTGGAAAAATCCTACAAAAACCTATATTCCTTTGGCTAAATAGACCCTTATGCAATAAATGTAATTTTTAAATCATTTGTGTATATGAATCAGGTGGGGATCACTGTGGGGATCAAATGAATTATTGAACAATCATAAAACAATGCTAAACTATTATAATTTTTTTAATTTTCAAAATAACATGAATTATATTATAATTTTATTTTGTTAAATTATATCTTATCAGTGACAGTATTGCTCTGTGAATAATAGGTGTCTGTAACATCAGAAAACTACCACCAGATGGCAGCACGCTCTTTAACATCAACACAAGGCCACGTGGACATGAACAGATGAAGTTACACAGACGTTGTCTAATTTTGTATTTGTGCCTTAAAAAATCAGGTAAGTGCGGTCTGGGGTGAAATCTGAATTCTGAGGATATAATCACACAAGAAATCTCAGTTCAAGTGTATATCATCAATCTTTCTAGCTGTTTTCTCTCTGTGTGTTTGTATCTATAGCTTAGTTTTTTTAAGCTGCATTGATTGAATTGTGTTTGTTCTGTTGTCATATAGGCTTGAGGATTCTTCCTTTCTCTTTCTCTTTCACCCTCATTCTTTCTGGGTAATTGCTTAGAGATAACACTGTGATTTTAATTGGATTTTCCCTCAGCACTAATCAAAATGTCTCTTTTGATAGCTAGATTGGAGCCAACAGACCAATTTAGAATAGTTTTTGTTTTGTTTTTTCGTTATTACAATAATGCAGGGCCATAACCACTGTAGATAATATATTAATGAATGATGAATACGTAAAGTGCAATCTATTTTAACCACTACTGATTGTATCACTCTTTGTTTGGCAGCATTGTGTTTTCCAGTGACTTTCTGTAGTGATATTGTTATGCCAGTAGGTGGTGGCAAGTGACATTGAATCACTCACTCCACCGATTCATCTAAAACACTACTGACTCGTTCAGGAATGAATCACCACTGCTGTGTGTTGCTTGGAGACATAGCGGTTGAATCTGCTTTGGCTTCGTTTGGGACTACTTTCGCCTTCAGAGCAAAAATAGACAAAGTAACTGGCCTAAAATGTAAGTTACTCGGTATTAACTTGTTTATTGAACTGTTGTATACAAAAAAAATCACACTTACAATCGTGCTGTTGGTCTGAATATCAGAATTACAATAGCACCTGCGATATGCATTTACAGTTGTGTTTCTAACTTTAAATGCTCGTGAGATTATATATGTATGTAATTGTAGCAGTAATTCCTTGTATTCATTCTCTCTTTCTTTCTCATTTTCCTTTTCTCCCCCATCTATTTGTGTCTGTCTGTGTCTGGTTGTTTCATTAGTTCGTATTGATGAATGGATCAGGAGATTTAAGTGGATGAGTTACATTGATCTGTGCAACACACACACACACACACACACACACACACACACACACAAAGTCACCTCTATAAACAACAGTTTCAGATGAAAACAACCTCTCTGCTTTCCTCATCTCTCTCCTCTCCTCCTTTCCTCTCTCCCTCTCTGAGCACCTTCCTCTTTTTAATCATGATGATGATTGCACTCTTTTTGTCTGCCAGTAAAAGCCTTTTATCACCCACCTCTCAGATAACTGGAAAGCCCCATTATTCCCACACAATCACATACAGTAATTCCAGGAAACACACGCTGATTCTCTGCACACACCTGTTGTGGTAGGTTTAGTTCTTCTGTTGCTACGCCACATACCTAATTTCTTTTATTTTTACACAGTCAATTAATGGATTAACCTGCCTGACCCTTGACAGACATGGAAAACCAGACAATGTTAAACAAATTAGAACAAATTTCCTGGGCCTTTTTTATTTTTTTCAAATGTGATTCGATATGATTATGACATGGGTTGCAGTTTTGTTGGGCACAATTTAGAATTTAACAATTGACTCATTTTCAATTCATGAGAGTGAATTGAACTGTTGAATTGACTATTACATACAGGATGTTAAATTGAAATTGAAATCAGAATAAAAAGAAAAGAAAAATATCATTCAAAGAAATTCACAGAACAGAGGAGTTCCATTAGTCAAGTTTTGTGAGAAAATAATAAATTATTAATTTTGACTAAAACCTGTGTGTGTTTATATACGCGCGCACACACACACACACACACACACATAAAATATACATAAAATACTTTTATTCTGTAGGTATTTTTTACCCATGTCTGGGTAATTCATATGAAAAATGAAATGTTCTACACTTACATAGTGGCATAGTCATACATTGGCATAGTGCAAGTGAAAAGTTTGTGAGTGCAAGAGTAATCACTTTTAAAGCACTGTTACGAAATCTTATGTATAGATTTATCTGCTGGCTTAATGCTTCTAAAAATGAGATTATTGTGGGTCTATCGAATATAAGGTTTGAACTACATGGTATCAGTCAAAGCTGTGGAGACATTGGTATTGCTGTATTTTGTAACTCTTTATTGTGTGCGATAGATGCTATGGGTTGTATATGTTGTCCTATTGTCTTTTTAAAATTTGGACCTTGAGTCTGTAATAAAGTTTGATTGATTGATTAATTACAGTTGTTATATAGGTTTAATTCTATTTCCTTAAATTCAACTTTTAGCCACAATTCTGAGTCCTGTTTGTTGCCTCAATTCAGTTTCAGCAATATAGATAGAATTTTAAAAGACATCACGATTCAATTGATGGCCTGGCGGATATTTTTAACGAAACCCATTTAACATCTAACCAATTGTAAATGCAAATATTGTTTACTTTCTTCCAGTGGCTCATGTAGTCTTGGTGATGTGTGCCTAATGCAATAATGTTTTGTAAAAAACTAAAACATTTTATTCATTTTGAAACCCAGGAAGTATCAGAATGTCTGTCTCTTTAAAGACTCCGAATTGGACAAAGTGGCATCTGCTTAAGTGTGCCATCAAGTAGTTACAAACTATAACTCTCCCCAGTCTTCTATTTGCTCTGGTTGCTAAGCATTGCTGGAAATAGTTTATTACCCAATGCAATTCCACCTCCATCAGTTTTCTACTGGAAACTGTAGACACACACACAAATAGATCAATATGACCCCTAGGGAAGGTTAGGGCCAGTATTTTGCCTTTACAGTAAAATCTGTGCTTGGGTAAAAACCCATTTAAAACCGTTCTGCTAAAAACTGCACAGGGCAATAATAACAGAAACTATGAATCGATGAGCAGCGGACAAAAGTTGTGTTGACCATGTGACCACTTCATTTTTAATGGGCTTCTTAAACGCTGATATGAGCAGAAAAAAATCCTCCAGCTTGCTAAACACAAGATAAGGGAGGTGGAACAGTCACTGATCGAAGCTAATGATTTTCTCATTAAATTGGAGGAAAGGACAGAGACAAAGAGTCAGAGCGAGCAAGGATGGGGGGAAATGTTTCTTCCTCTTCTAATCCTGCTGTAGAAATGACACGTGAAGATAAACCTTCCAGCAGAAGTGTTCAACAGTGCTCAGTTAGTTAGCCACCAACTCAGGCCTAGTAGGCAAAACCAAATACTTTACATTGATTTTGATGTGCATATATATTAAATAGTTAAAATCTGCAGTTATTACCTTAAGGAGCTATTTCAACCTGTCTGCACCTGTGAAAATAACTGCTTGGTTTAACAACAAAACATTTGTAACAATCTTAAAGGAATAGTTCATCCAAATTTTCTTAAAAAACAAAACAAAACATAGATTTAGCTTTTTTTCTGCACAAAACACAAAAGTAGCCTAAAAATGTACAGAAACAGCTTTTGCTATACAGTGAAGCTGTCAAGTTCCAAAGGGGCAAAAAAACAAACAAACAAAAAAACAGAAAAGTAGTTTAATATTTTGTGAAGCAAGACTTCTGAAGCTATTCGATATTTTGATCGAAGGTCAGCCTGTATACAATAATCTTCACTTCTAACAAAGCTCACGTCTAACATCTGTCTGTGTAGATTCCATGAATATATTAAGAATCTTATAATGTAGCACACGTCAAATAGAGAAATTTTCTACCCATTTTTGTAGTTTTTGATGACCCCTAATAAAAGCTTGGTTAACTGTAAGATGCCATATAAACCATGTAAATGGGTTAACATTGGTTTAATGTATTATATGTAATTTTACTGTAAAATACTATCAAAGTTATGATTTTAGCAAATACAAACTATGGATTACCATATAATTTACAGTAAACAAAAACAGTAAAATGATATTTCCATTTCCAGTCCCTACGTGTCATTACATTTGATTATATTTTCTTTAAATAGTTATATGTTTTTTTTTAACCTTAAACCACATAAACACATTTCATTACACCAAATACACAAAATAATGTTCTTTTTAGCAGCATCATATGACCCCTTTAAAGTAGAAAGCAGATTTTGATAGTTCAGGTAGATTGGTATATTTTATGTTTTTACGAGTAAAGAAATATATGGTTATAAGTTGTTATATACAGGCACCAATATGCTATCCCATAATACCTGAAACGATGCCACTGTTTTGTCTGTCTGTCTGTCTATCTATCCATCCATAATTGTAACTTTTTTTAAACAGTGTAGACAATTGTACTTTAGGGTTTGACAAAAAATAATAATAATGGCATGCAGGTTTGAAATAACATGAGGGTGAGTAAACAGATTAGAGTGCGTAGACCGATTTATCCATTTTGAGGTGGACTATTCCCTGAATTACACTATATATAATCTAAATGTCTTAAAGATATAATGCAGTGGCTTTATGCAGCATATTTGGGTGCTATTGTTTCCTACATTTAGGTTGCTCCTCAAAATAGAACAATGAAAAATTAATTTAGATCACGGCCTTGTGTGTGTTCCAGGAAAATTAAATCGGTCTTCATTAAGCTAAAGCTGGAATAAACCTTGTTTTTATTTTTAAAGAGGCTAAAGGGTCAATGCCATGTGTTGTGAGTCTTGATGTTGTTTTGTATTTGAAGCGGTTTGAGGCTGAACTTCTTCTAATTTGGCTGATTATGTAAGAGAATTTCAATCTGAAGCCTCTGTCTCTGCGAGATTACGAGGAAAACTGATCTGGTAATCTTGAAAACATGATGAAACCAGTGATCAGTCACCTATAAAAATAGATTGCGTTTTGTTTTTTTAAGAACTGCTTGCAAATCTTTTGTTGCTTTTTGTGTGTTTGTGTACATTTAGTACTGCTCTCCTTGCATTCAAACCTATTTGCATTCAGGATCCTTTGTGTTTGTGTGTGTGAGACTTCAATCCAAAGCCAGCAGTAGTGTGATTTTTCTATGACAGGAAGAGGAAAAGCTGTTGAATGAAAACACTTTCTGTTTATCCAGTTGGTTCCTTTTAGAGAGCTGTGGACAGACACAAACTAATACACTCACACAGCCTTACATTACACACATGCATAGTACGATTTAGTATGTATTCTTTTAGTTTCAAAGCCAATAATTTCTCTTTGCATCATATTTTAATTGAATTTTGCATATGTATTTTAATTCAGCAAGAGACTAAATTACACAACAGAACTACAGTGTAATCTTGATCCAGAGACACACATACACACATTAGTTGACAGGCACATGCTTGTGTTTTAATGATTAAACAAGTGTTCAACCTCACAGATGCCCCAGTTTACTTGTGTGTGTGTGTGTGTGTGTGTTTGAGTCTCTGTGTGTACAGATGAGAAATTGTGGTATATAAAATATTAAAATTGCATTTATACATAATGAAGCACTAACCAGACCAGACACAGGATTTCTCTTTCTCCTTCTGACACACTCGCACGCGCACACACACACACACACACACACACACAGTGTGTCTGGTTTATCCTTGTGCATGGGGACTCTATAGGCGTAATGGTTTTTATACTGTACAAACCGTATTTTCTATCGCCCTACACCGACCCTACCCCTAAACCTATCCCTCACAGAAAACTTTATGCATTTTTACATTCTCAACTCATTCTGTATGATGTATAAGCTTGTTTCCCCATGGGGACCTCAATTTAGTCCCCATGAGTCAGTGTGCATTCAGGTTTAAGTCCCCACCAGTATAGAAAAACATGTACACACACACACACACAGAGAGAGAGAGAGAGAGACACACACACACACACACAGAATTACTATTACAAAAACTCTGTTTTGGTCTGTGTAACTTTATTTGAGCAAACTATACTGTATGTATACTGTAAAAAACAAACCAAAATGTGTTATCTCCATTACAACAGCTGGACAACACTGATAAAGGTGGCTCCTTTGACCTCTGAAACAGATTATCAAACTCATTTGACCAAATAACTTTTTTTCCCCAGAAAACACAATGTCCAAAGAAGGAAATGTATATTTTCATATGCACATCATGAAAACAAATCTGACAGAAAATGCAGAAGCACTAAGAGGGACGAGGAGAATAAGTGACAGCAGCAGCATCTATCGTATGATTTGTCGTCTACAGTAACATATGCAAACTAACTAATCATTTTCACTTTCTCCTATAGACCAAAACAACCGAGAACGTCACGCAAAAACCGCTCTTTTTTTTATTTATTCATATGGCAGTCAAGTTCTACATTCTAACACTAAATATCATCTTCTCTCTTTATCCCCAGACCTTTCCACCGCTCCTCCATGTTGCGTCAAAGGCACCTCATTCCCAAGGACTGCCAAAGTGTTTACAAGATAAGTGTGTGCGAGTGTGTGTGTGTGTGTATGTGTGTTTAAGCCTCTGTAAATAGCATGACTCTGTTCTCTTCTAACATCGACTGCAGTCACATCGATTTTATTGTGTGGTCACTCTAGGCCGGGTCTTAACAATTTCGTTTGCTCTAGAACATATCAAACACTAATACATTTTGATAGTTTATCTGTAATTTTAAGTATTCATTCTGCTGATGAAAAAAAAAGTAAATGTAGGTATGTGATTTATGGTGAACCGTTATGAGACGTATGAATATGGATGTTAACTCCTCATGGCATGACGGTAAAATCACATCCTATCAGGTGCAAAGAGTTCATGACGCCAGGTGTGTTGGCATGTATTTCGTATGTGTATTTGTGTGCATGTTTATAAGTGCAGACATTTAACCCTCAATAATCTCTCATCAAACCCGCTTATGAATTCCTGAACTTCCAGGTCTGTCAATATATGTATTCACTTTGGATAAATATAAGAAAAGTAATAAAAATGAAATGTGGTTATTGAGTATTGATATTAATTTTGTACAAATGTTATACGGCACAGGGGTAGATGAACCCTTTAGTAATGTTAGTACTGCACTCTGCCAAGATCACCTAGAAACGTGCTTTAAGACCAAATGAAAGTCTGTCATTTATTTGGTTCCTTGTTTTTAAATGCTTTAAAATAATAATTAAAAAAGACAGCGGAAAACGGATTATGATAGGTACCCATACTCATCATCAATTTGTTCATATTCATCATCATCATCTCCCATCTCCTCTTCATCATTTACAACATCACCATCTTCATCGTCTGAGAGCAGAGAGTCACCGCTGCCAAAATCTCCGGAAGACTCCACAGCTGCAAGGTAAAACAGTAGCTGTTTTCATTTCTTGACTTCTAGCGGTTAGAATTAACACATTTCATTGCTGTTTTTCTTGAGTTTAAAGTTTTGGAATGAGTAAGCTTTTTTTTTTTTTATATGAAATGCTTTTATTCAGAAAGGATGCATTTAACTGATAAAAAGTTCAATGAATAGAAAAATAATGTTACAAAAGATTTCTATTTTAAATAAATGTCGTTCCTTTGCACTTCCTATTCATCAAAGAGTCCTGAAAAATATGTAGCACATGTATCATGTATCCTGTTTCCACAAAAATATTAAGAAGCATAACTGTTTTCAACATTGATAATAATGCAATTGTTAATTTAAGCAGCACTATGTAACTTTTGGAGCTCTAGCTGTTAATAAACAGAACTGCACACATCCCGCGGAAGAACATTCCAACCGGAGCTACTTCTCTAAGTTTATGTCTATGGCAATTCACGCAGGTATCTGTTACTCCGCAGCGGTGACGACCCGACCAGGCTACAATAGTCCAAATATAAATACTTATTATAAGCGTACCGTAGTGATTCGGATTAAGACAAAAACGCGGTTTGGAAGATGAATTCATGATGTACTCGCTCATTATATACATTTAGCAAATTTTGAACACAGAAAAAGTTACATAGTGCTGCTTTAAGCACCAAATCAGAATATGACCCTGGACCACAAAAATTTCTGAATTTTTCGAAATTGAAATTTATACGATTTTTACCATTTTTAAAATGTAAAATTGTCCAAATGAAATCCTTAGCAATGCATATTACAAATCAAAAATTAGGTTTTGATATATTTACGGTAGGAAATTTACAAAATATCTTCATAGAACATGTTATACGATTTTTACCATTTTTAAAATGTAAAATTGTCCAAATGAAATCCTTAGCAATGCATATTACAAATCAAAAATTAGGTTTTGATATATTTACGGTAGGAAATTTACAAAATATCTTCATGGAACATGATCATCATCTTTACTTGATGTCGTAATCTTTTTTGGCATAAAAGAAAAATCAATCATTTTGACAGATACAATGTATTGTTGATTATTGCTATAAATATACCCATGCTACTTATGACTGGTTTAGTTATCCAGGGTCACATATTAGAATGATTTCTGAAGGATCATGTGACACTGAGGAATAGAGTAATGGCTGCAAAACTCAGATTTATCATCATAGGGAAAAAAATTCATTAAAATTATAATTAAACTTATTTTAAATAGTAATAATATTTCACAATATTACGGTTTTACTGGATGGTGAGCATAAGAGATTTCATTCATAAACATTATAAAAATCTCACTAACCCCAACACACAAGACACTCACCCCCCCGTTTCATCTTCTTTGGCTGTTGTGCCACATCTCACTGTTGTTGTTTTTTTCAGCATCTCACACCATGAACACCACTTAAAAAATGTGTCATGTTAAAAACAGTGAGATGTGGCACAACTCTTTATTGGACAATAACTAACTGAAGTGATTTCACAAATACTTTCTATAGTCTGATGGTCAAAATACCTGCAGTACTTTAAATATACACTACTTGTATTGTAAATTCCAGATTGTATTTGTTTTTAATTGAGATCTGTTTTGTATGAACTTTATAATCTATTAGCTAATTAACTAGTCGTTCCAGTTGGAAGGATTAAAATGCGAAATGTAAAATTATCAGTTATCACATCAGCCTAGAAGTCACTGAATCCCTACATTGTACAGATTAAAAGCATTACTTATTTGACTTTTTTTCCAAAATATCTGAGGTGTGATGCATGCAAATGATGCACCCCCCTCTTACCACAGTCAGCAGGGCCGTGGGTATGAGACCCAGCGATCTCATTTCCATAGCGGTCCACACACCAGCACTGACCACTGCTGCCATGACATTGGTGAGGCCTATAGAAGCCATCCTCATCACAGGAGGGGATGTACGGACCTACACACACACAAGATTATACACAGCCACCGAGTGTGTCTCAAAGCCACACTCACACAGATAGGGAGATGATATATTCAATGTCAAAGAACATAACTGTCACCTCCGAGAGCTTGCTCTCTCTCTCTCTGTGTGTCTCTCACGCACATTCTTTGCATTTCAACTTCACAGATTCTTTCTACAGAATCACCATAGTCAAGCTTTTTTTAAATTTTTTTTATCTTTCTCTCTTTTTTTTTGTCCTTTTATAATTCAGTGCCAGAAGCCATAGAGCCGTCACTGTGCGTTCCACTCAGGGGAGAAACAGCAGTTAAAAATATCCTTCTTTTCATGTCCAATTTCCCTTCATCTCATTCCCCTGCTCAAATTAAACACGCGACCTTCAGAGAGAGGGAAAGAAACTCTGAGTGATTTCTAGCTTTAATAGAATTAATGTTGGCTTCCCTCTGTTTGACACCTTGGTTGTACTGTAGCTGTGTTTAGGTTGTGATGACATTGAGATGGTTATTAAATGCTAGTGCTTTTTAACGTGGTGTAAAATGCTGGGGAAAAATACTGGTTACATTGCAAGTCTGGTGTTTATAGCTGAGGCCCACAAAGTATTACGATTTAGGATGTCTGAGTATCAACAGATTTTTTAGTTTATAATGTTACTGCATTTTGTGTGTCAATAAGGTATATTAGTTTGTATCTAGTCAGGTGTAAATGACAATGATACAGTTTTTTGTATAGTGATGCAATGCATCATGTAATCACTATTTCAGCAGAATGTAATCACAATCAGCAGTCAGCAGGACTGCTAAGAGGATTGCCGGTGCCCCTCTGCCCAACCTCCAAGCTCTTCACACCTCCAGAGTGAGGAAAAGGGCTTTGGACCCCTCACACCGAGCCCACTCTCTCTTCCAACTGTTGCCTTCTGGTCGGCGCTACAGAGCACTGACCACCAGAACAGCCAGGCACAAGAACAGTTTTTTTCCCACAGGCTATATTCAGCCTGAACAATTAAAACTTTCATAACAATACACTGTCCATTATAACTGACACAGAATCCGAAATTTGAACATTTGTAAACAACATATCTGTCCATTCATTTAAAAAAAAATGTTCTATACTTCTACTTCTGTATTATTTTTTATTATTCCATCTCTACTGTGTTAATCCTATGTATGTCTGCACTATCATGTATGCACGTATGTCCATACTTTCTTCTGCATTGGAAGCTCCAGTCAAGTCAAATACCTTGTGTGTTTAAACATACTTGGTAATAAAGCTCTTTCTTCTTTCTATTTGGTTCTTTTTTTTTTTTCAAAATGTATGTTTCAAGCATATTTTAAAGAATATGCTGTAGGCAACTAACTTGATTTTTAATTAAATACAGTAGCTCTTTTTTTGGATAAGAAATGAATGGGCCATACATTTAAAAAATTATAATATATGAATTTGCAATGTAAAGATTGATGCATTAATTAGCTCATATAGATAATAAAAATAGCCAACAAATTTCTGCATATAAATAGGACTACTTAACATATATTCAATGTGATTTCAGTTAACATTTTTGAATGTTTTTGAAAGTAGTCTCTTATGCTCACCGATGCTGTATTTATTTCATCAAAATACAGTAAAACAGTAACATTGTTAAATATTTTTAGTTTAAAACCATTTTCTATTTGAATTTTAAAATGAAATGTATTCCTATGATGACAAAGCTGAACTTTTCAGCAGCCATTACTCCAGTTTTCAGTGTTGACATACATACTTTATGATTCTTTAGAAATCATTCTAATGATTTGGTGCTTAAGTAACATTTCTTATCAATGTCAAAAACAGGTGTGCTGCTTATTTTTGTGGAAGGCTGTATTTATTTCATCAAAATACAGTAAAACAGTAACATTGTTAAATATTTTTACAGTTTAAAACCATTTTCTATTTGAATTTTAAAATGAAATGTATTCCTATGATGACAAAGCTGAACTTTTCAGCAGCCATTACTCCAGTTTTCAGTGTTGACATACATACTTTATGATTCTTTAGAAATCATTCTAATGATTTGGTGCTTAAGTAACATTTCTTATCAATGTCAAAAACAGGTGTGCTGCTTATTTTTGTGGAAATGTTTTTTTTTTTTTCAGGATTCTTTTCAAAATATATGAAGTTTGAAAGAACATCATTTATTTAAAATTGAAATAAATGTAAAACATTTATTTTATTTTTTTAATTATTTTTTTTACAGTCACTTATGATCAATTTAATGCACCCTTGCTGAATAAAAGTATATATTTCTTAAAAAAAAAAAAAAAGTCTTACTGACCCCAAACATTTGAACAAGTGTTAGGTGTGTTTTTAAAAGAATTGTACTTAGATTAAGATGGCTGCTGGCAGATTTTGGAACTGGGACAAGGATAACTCCATTAAACATGATCTTGCATTACAAACAAGGACCACTTTGTCCATGAGAAAATTACATGTATAAACAAAACACACAAGAGGATGAATTTACCCAGTAATTTCTTCCCAGCTTGCGGTTTGTGGATGATGGTGATCTCTGACTGGCAGGGAGCCTCTGAAACACATTGATTTCAGATCAGCAGTGAGAAAGATACCTCTACCAGTATTCCTCAGGTAGAGAGATTTTAACTGCAGGCATTATGTCATTTAGTATATAAATATCTCAAAACTAGATTATCCTACAATCCTGCATAATTTCTAGACTGCCTTTCTGTTGTAACGGTTAATGATGTTCTGTCTTAATGTCCTAATTTTCTTTCTCAGATGAACTTATATACCGGGCTGTACGTGCTTTATACAGTGCATGGTAACACTTTACAATAAGGTTCTATAAGATAATATTAGTATTTTAACATTATTTATTAATTTTATGAATAATACATTTCAACCAGTAAAACATTTAACTAATGCATTATGAACCTACTCTACATGTGTATGAACAATTGTATATTTATACATTAACATTAAGAAGATCAATTAATTAAAAATGTTATTTAAAAATAGTGTTAGTTCAGAACAAATTAACTAATGTTAATCTTATTTAATAAGCTATATACTCTGAAATACATAATTCTCATTGGTAAATTATTGGCATTGACTGGTGAAATATTTTTGTATAATACTGCTAAACTATATTTGAGCTTTGACTTCTTTCATGTCTGTTCACGTCAAGGTCCTGATCTCCCTGTCAGGGTTTATTAAGCCTTACACGACTGTTTTGTAACTTTAATGTATTTCGTCCTATTAGTGCGCTTGTGTGAAGGTTTCTTAGCTAGTACTACAGTATATGAATACACCTTTGAGTTTGGATGAGAGAAAGTAGTTCTTTATCTTGAATTTCTTGAAAGCATGTGGAATAGTATGTGTAAATCCCTGTTCGGACAGTAATTGTTTCTCGTGGGGATGAAAGGTATTTTCAGAATTTTCCAGGGCCTAGTCTGTGATTTTACTGCCGTCCGAATCCAAAATGTCTGTGTTTTTCTCACACCATCTACGTAACAATTCCCAGCCGAATTACCTACTGTTTTTGATAAACACCAAGGTCGTGTGGTAATTTAATTGTTATCCGAATCCACATCTCTGAATATACAAGAGGGGATCAATTCAAAAGTCATTTTGTGAATCCTTTTTGACCACTGCCAAGCACTGTAGAGTAACTCCGCTTTGCAGTAATTTGCACCTTGAAATGCTGGAAAGTATTTACAAGAACTATATTTTATCTAATAATTTGAAATGGGCCATTGGCATGGCAGCAACTGGTATGCAATATAACTTTAAAATACATATTATATACAATTATATACATCAAAAATATAAACCAAGTAGCTGAGTCAATTGTTTACCTTATGTTAATTAGAGGATGCATTAGCTTGTTTCTGAAAATTTCCACACATTTTTAAAAAAGACATCCCTCATTTTGAGATAAAATGTAACACAGGAAACCATTTTCCTATTATTTAATTAAATATGAATTTATGAATTGTCCAAGCAATGTAACTGACCACGTGAGGATCAGAAACTCACACCTCCACCACAAATTTATCTTCATCAGAACGTATGAATTTTATCATTGTAAAGCCGATGTCAGCCTGAGAAACAATTATGAATTGGGCTGAAGCTTACCTTGATATCTCTGAAAGCAAGAACACCACTCCTGGCTGGAAACAAGCCCGTCTCTGTCTGGGTCACATGACCTGAGGAAGGCTTTAGTGCACACATCACTCTTCTCTGAGCTCAGGCTGGACAGCTCTGATTGGTCGAGCTGAAGGTCAAAGTTTGTGTCCAGTCTGGAGAACATCCAGCCTAGAGAGTCCTTACAGAGGGGCACCTTACTCATGTCAACCTCTACAAAGACATACAGAGAGGTCGCAGAAAGATCTTTAATTTGACATTGATTTCATTATCATGGTTATTAGGTTAGCACTAATATTAGCAGTTCAGATGTGTGTGTGTGTGTGTGTGCATGTGCTCACTCTTTTCTGGCTTCTGGAACTTGTATTTCTTGCTGGGATTGCCACTCTCGTGAAGAACTGTGATCCACTCTCGTAATCTGCTGACCACTTCAATCATCTCCGCATTACCACATTCTACACAGAAAAACACACAGAACATCCGATAGATAAATTAAGCAATCGGGCACAGCAGTACAGGTTCAAAAGTAAAACTTTCATTCTTTTTTTTCCAAAGAGAAATCTTTTTTTGGAATAATGTTTAGGGGCTGTGAGGTTAAACAATGATATGTGCTCCTGTAGCAGTCACTAATCAGTGCAATTTAATTTTTAAAAGACTGTTTAGTTGTAGAATTTCCTGTGAAAGATTACCCTAACCATAATCTTGAAAAAAAAAAAAAACCTTCACCAATCAGAATACTTCCTGTTAACATGGAAATGGGAATTTTGCCAAAGAAGCTAAGCACTGACCACCCACTACCGTATGTTGAATGACTTAATTAAGTCAAACTACTTTTATATATATATATATATATATATATATGTGTGTACTAGAACGAGTACAGATATATTATATTAATTAATTCACAATGCATTTTGTGATTACAGAAGATTCATGACCTGTATGTTCTACAATAAATATAATAGTTATTAAGAAGAAGAAAAGAAATATGATTTGAGTTCACATCTTTATTTTATTTGATTTTTAGCATTTTAAATTAGGTTACAATTTGATTATTTTAATAATATATTAATTTAAATACTTTTAAGTCATTTAGGTCTTGGGAAGTTTGCTGAGGCTGCCTGGTTTAGAACCACTGTACTAAATGTAGGTTTTAAATTGATAGCCTCTGCAATAAACTTGCAGAATTATGCAACAACAAAATAATACAAATAAACGTCCTCTCATTTTCAACTACTTTTATTTCCAGCAAATTTCTAACATGTTTAAATATTTGTATTAACAAAAAGTTAAACAACCAGACATTTGACAAACAGAAATGGAATAATGAGTCCCTGAACAAAGAGTCAAAATCAAAAGTGACAGTGAGCATCCGTCGCCAGCAGCTGATTTAAGTACAACAGTGCATTTCATCCTTATGTACTGCACCAGATTTGCTAGTTTTTTGCCACTGCAAGGATGATCAGCTGTCTTTCTGTCTTCATAGCACTGTCTTAGGTGTCTTACATTATAGACATTGCAGTTTATCGTTTTGGCCACATCTGTCGTCCTCATGCCTCCCTGCCTCAGGACTATGACCTGCTCACACAGGTGATCAGGACATTCTTCTGGTGTTTTTCAGAGTCAGTAGAAAGGTTTCTCTACTGTCCTAGGTTATTGCATCTGTGACCTTCATTGTCTATTGCCTGTAAACCGTAAGAGTCTTAAGGACTGTTCCACAGGTGCCTGTGCAATAATTGTTTATGGTTCATTGAGCAAGCATGAAAAAACATTTTTCAAGCCCTTTCCAATAAGGATCTGTAAAGCTTATTTGGATTTTACATTATAGCATATATTATACAGCATCCTGAAAAAGGGATGAGTATTTTTTATGATTATACTCAGTGACATCTAATTAACTATAATTGTATAGTGCCCTCAAAACAGTGTCATTGGTCGCATAATAATGACAATACATGTCACAGTCAGTCATGCCTCTTTGGCAGCTGTGAGGCCTGCTATCACATTTAACTTGGCCCAGGTTTCTTTTTTTAAGGGTTATTGGTTCAGCATACCTTGATCGCTTCACTGATTGATTGCCAATAAAGGTTATTACACATCAGACCAAATATAACATAGTTTAGAGGTGTTTTAGACCGTAAATAAATAATCTTGTTTATTCTGTGTTCTGAATTCACTTGTTTTGTTTAATAAAATTCTGATAGTGCCCAAAATGCCAAGGGCATTTCCAAACTTTTAGAGGTCATTTTATATTTTACCATCATTTCTGACCTGTTTAAGTCATTTGCATTGCTTCATGGCTTAAGTAGAATTTAAGCAGGCAGTTTTGTACCCTTTTTTTGTATTTCATATGCTGTTTAGCTTTGAATCAAAAGAAATGTGATTTATCTTTGAGCTTGCTGATTTGACTCGAGGCTTAGAACTCTTTAGTGAAGAGTCTTTTTTTTAATAAAAATGCCTGTGGAATACCAGGCATTTAATCGATTTAAATGAATGGTGAAAATTCCCAGGGCTGCTGAAAAAGTATGCGATCATTGTTGGGCTTTATTGACTTTTAAGTATACACTATTCTAGCTTTTCTGATAACAGCTAAACTTGATTAGTGTTTAGGAATAAATAAAATACCCAGGTTCATTGCTGTTTTTTTAATTAAGTGAGAGCGACTGTGTTCACCTAACAGCTCACCTTTGTGCCTTTAAGGAAGGTACTTAAGTCCAGTTAACCCTCAGGGTGAGGAGAGCAATCCCTGCTATTATTGTCCTGTAGCCAGTACATCCTGCCTGGTGACACTCCAGGCTATAAAACCCACAATATTGGATAACATCAGCAATAACTGTGCCTTCTGGGGAAATTTGTACTTATCCAATGTATAAATAATTTCCAATTTACTTGATTGTATTTTCTGCATCCAATGTGTTTTGTTTTGATATGTTCATTAGATTTAACAGTCTGTGTATATTGTTTGGGGATGGTTTGGGGCATCTGATAAATCTAGTTTTGTTGTAAGTAATTAATGAGCGTAACTGATTGAATTCTTGTAGCTAATGCATCATACATCTGTGCTGATTTTTGATAAGATGCTGTACTGGAAGGAAGGAAGGGTCGGGGTCTTGCATTCAGAAGCAGCTGCGAGGGCTAATATTCATGTTCTCTAATTTTGGATTTGTTCTTTTTCAATTCTTATGTGCAATGATAAAATGTTTCTAGAATTCAGCAGAGACACATCGGGCCGTGTTTTCTTTGACATTTTGTATCTTTTTCTGAAAATCAGTTGGTGTTGCATATATACAGTATAATAATGGGATGTGTAGATGTTTTTAGCTTGTTCTTTAATTATCTCTAGATAATTAAGTTTGGGAAAACAGTCAATATGGTTTGATGTCTCTTGATGGCTTAAAACAAGATGGCAAATAAAAACTCAACAAATATAAACCATTGTGGATACACAATTAAGATGAGAAACAGATTAAAGTAGAAAGAAGCAATTTGTTACAGTGACTTTACAACAAGTTAGAGGTGTTCTGATAAATGGCACAAAGTCTTTTAACCATGGTAAAATCACTGTAATTCACAGCCTTTAGTGGCTTACTGCTTTTATTAAAGTCTGCAATAGCATTATGATAAAAGAGGAAAACTTCCAATAAATGGCTAACTTTAATACTAATAAAAGGAATACAGACCTCAAACTTTTGAACGGTAGTGTCTATATGAAAAGCTTTGATCTTGCTGATATTTGGCAACTGGAAAAAACAATATTCATGCTTCCCATCCCTTCAAAAATCCATTTCCATGATCTAAAGTTTGGTTTGCGTTGGTTTCAGCTCTAAGTTATCACTGTCAATCTTTTGATGGTGAATGTGAGTGAATTTCCTCTATAGACCTGAAGCCAAGCAGTTGAAGGCAGGACTTGTGTTCATTGGGATAATGATGAAAACAAATATTTTACTGCGCTGTCTTTCTCACACGTACACGCATACACACACTGACACTACCAATCTGGAACAGCAAACATTTAATAAGTTCCTAAGGGATTCAGTAGCTTTGAGATTCTACACAAAATAAGACTAGTTTGGTGTATTGAAATCTCTTTGCTGCTCTCGTTGCAGATGGAAACATGCCAAGTACCCACCCTAAAGGGTACATATCCCTTCCCACAGCTACAGAGATGAAAGATTGGTTTCAGATATAGAATAATTTGTTGGTTCATCAAGTAATGACATGAGATATTCATCATTACCATTTATGAGGGCTTAAGGGAGAAAAAAAAAACACATTCATAATAGCATATTGCCATACTACTATAATATATGTACTTTATATTGTGTGCAGTGTACACAATATACAGTACATATGGGCAAGAATTTTGTGTACACAGAATACCTACTAAATCTGCCAAAATATGCAGTATACAACAGAAGTGTGATTTTGTAATCTTTCATTCGTGGCTTTTTTTTTTTTTGAATAGACTGGCAAGACCTAAGACATTTTTTTCAGAAAAAAACTGGATTTACAAGTTGATAACTAAACACCACTCCCTTAATTAGGCAAGCAGTATAGGTTAATCATATTGTCCGGATCTATTTAAAATGCAATTCATGCATACAAGGTCTTGAATGCACCTTGTCTATGATTAAGCATGTTTTTAATTTATAAGATTAAATATTTAGATTTTTTTAATTTAGCAATTTTTGGGCCATAAAGGGTCAAATGTAGAAATGACACACTGTCCTAATATAAAAAAAAATAAAAAATAAAAAAAAACATGAAATGATATCAGACTCTGTTGACTGTCTGTCAAGAGGGTTTTCTGTGACTGACTTTTTATGACAGGGCAAGCTTCGCTTAGGTTGTAAAATATTGTGTGTTGTGACTCCTTAAAAACAGTGTTTATAAATGAATAATTTGTGATATTTGTTAAATGAATGAATGAATGAATACTTTTTCCCTTGACAGTAAGAGATTGTTTTTGCAAGAAATCTCTTATGATAAGCAAGGCTGCATTTATTTGATGGAAAATACAGTAAAAATATTAATATTATGAAATATTATTACAGTTTTGTTTTTCTATTTTAATATATTATAAAATGTCATTTATTCCTATGATGGCAAAGCTGAATTTTCAGCAGCCACCAGTCTTCAGTGTCACATGATCTTTCAGAAATCATTCTAATATTCTAATATGCTGATTTGCTGGTCAGGGAACATCTTTTATTATTATTAATTTTGAAAACAGTTGTGATGCCTAATATTTTTGTGTAAACTGAAACATTTTTTCAGGTGTTTTGATGAATAGAATGTTCAAAAGAACAGGATTTATTTAAAATAAAAATACTTTCATTTATTTGTACTATTTATTTAAAAAATAAGTATTTAAAATTCTAAATGCCTTTTCGGTCACTTTCGATACATTTTATGTACCTTACTGATGCCATAGTGTATATTTTAGGATGTGAAAAAATTAGGGAAGATATGGGGAAAAAAGATGGAAGAAAATCTTGCTTTTTACTTGGTTACATCACCTGACATTTAAAAATGTTCCTAAAAATTGACATAAATGGATTTCGAAACCACCATGAATATCAAATATATTTCACATTTGATTTAAATTAGAAGTTTAAAGCATTTTCATTTTCTTTATTGTGGACACTCTTATTTGTCATTGACCCATACTGTATGTTTATCACATTCATAATGCATAATGCATTTTCAGTGTATATGGTACAATATGCAGTGCACATATTCCTTTCAAAACAAAGGCAGTGTTTGTGTGCAAGTCCTTATGGGTCAACTGCATCAATAAAGTGTGTGTACCTCTCTTCTCTGCTGGATTTCCTGAAGGGCAGGGACACTGTCCTGGACACTTCACAGAAATCTGCTTCCCAGAGATGCAAGCTTGATATTCTAGTTTACACTAAAACACACACACAAAGCTGAGATTAGATAAGTAAAGTACATTGTCGATCGAGGATTAATCTCTTAGTTGAATACCTCTGTGACACAGCTTTATGAAAAAGCAATTCAGACAGTATACACATATAGAAACACACACACAGTGGCAGTTCTCATAAACAGGTAGTGTGTGTGTTACCTTGGTGGAGTAAGTGTGTCCATCTGTTCCACAAACAGGTGAAGGGTGCACAACTGGACATCTTTTGCATTTCAGCAGTGGTGAGTTCATATTCATGTCCTTAAAACTGCACACACAAAGAGAGATTGCCTTCTTAACACAAATAGAACTAAACAATATTGATCTTCAGAAATGCAGCCAATTTTGATCTGTCCTTCCTATGATCACTGGTTCTGTACTGGTTTTGATTCATCCGGCGACCCAATCAATCTAAATTTATTTATATTATGAACCAACAGTATACAACATTATTAACATGACAGGATGAATAAGAAAACTGGTAATTTTGGGGTTAAATTCTCTTTATAAACCACACTTTGGTCATTCTGGTCAACACAAATCATATTTATTCTCATTTTAACCTCCTGAGACCCTGTGACCTCATATGAGGACATTATATTTTGGTGTATTTGATAATATTTTGTAATTATCATTTAAATATGTCAAATTTTTTAACTGTCATAAATAAACATCTCAGGAAAATGTTATAGGGTTTCAAATCAAAATATGACTTTCTGTTACGAAACAGGACGTTGATTTCATACATGTCCTCATATGAGGACACCGGGACTAAAAACATGTTTATTATGCATTTTGGGAGACATAACAAAGGAACAGGCAAAACAATTATATTTCTATATTCTATGAAATATTATATATTATTATGAAAATCTTGTCAATTATTACTCCCATTATTACACTCGTTTTTTCGTTACATGTTGCCCCAAAAACACATTAATATGCAAATTAGATTTAGTTTATAGATACATTGTATATAATGAGAAAACCAGTTTATGGCCATTTTACACACATTTTGCAGAAAGAAAAATGTATATCAAATCATTCTGTTATAACATAGTTGAGAATCATCTTTATACAAAAATCCTGAAAACTAAAAATGTATTGGTGATTTTAAAAATCTATTGTTTTTGCCTATGCATGTTCATTCATGTCTTTTTATTTTTTTAAAGAAATTGAGTCTTTTAAAAATCTATTGTTTTTGCCTATGCATGTTCATTCATGTCTTTTTATTTATTTTTTTTAATTGAGTCCCGATGTCCTCTACCGAGGACATAGCATAACTTATAAATGAACATGCATATGAATATGAATGAATAAGCATAACTTATAACTTTTTTTTTAATGCTCTAAACAATGTAAAGACAAGGGTCTTAAGAGGTTAAGTGAGCATCTTCATATTTTATTTTCCCTTGCAAAGTTTTGTTCATGGGTTTTAAGGATGAGGGGATGTAAAAGTCTTTAGCTTGACAAATTGATTTGTTTTTCAATTCACTTTTCTATTCAATTCCAAAGCAATATTTGCCAATACAGAATTAATGCAATTTGATTCATTACATAGTTTGATTTAACAACAATTTTTGATACAGCACTAAAAATGCTTTTATAGCGTACTTTGATATGTCTAACCTCTTCCAAGTGAATTTGCGTCAAATAGTTTCATTGGTCTCTAACACAGATGGTATTGTTAACTAGGGGGCCGCGGCCCACTAGAGGGCCTCAAGATGACTTTTTAAAATTTGTTCATAAGTAATTTTGAAAATCAAGCGTAGCGTTAGTTCTGGCAGGTCACGTTAGTCAAGCTCGCATCAGCTGACCTTCAGCTGATCCCCATCTACCTATGGGAATACGACACCTATCTAAGCATTCATATATAAGGTCCCTCAGTATTATCAGCAGTTTTCGCATTGCTCAATAGCTAATTACCCTCCTCCATCCCCAACTACCACTTTATGGCGGCCACATTTTATCTTGAGGCACGGATCTTTGGCAGGGTCCAGAGCTGAAACACATATAAAAATAAACTTGTATAGCCTATGTACACAAACCATGAAAACAGATAAACACACAGCAAATACTGAATATGTGAATACTGTTATATTTCGTTCACATGCTGGGAACTCAACAAGAATGACCTGTGCACACTGATAGTGTTGTTTACTGCACACAGTCTGTGTTGTTTTAGCACCAGATTTACTGGAAATTAAATTGGCAAAATCTATAATAAGACAAATCTAAATACTATGCTGGACACCGGACACGAAGCGCAGTGGCGTGCCTCAACTAGGTCATCTCACAGGTATCTCCCACCGGACACAAGGAGACAGTTCAAAACAGTTCATCTAATCCCCAAACAGGCACTTAAGAATGAACAAAGTGGCATCGATGAGTTTGAAAAAAAAAATACTGAGCAAACAGAAAGAAAACGTGTGATATGTTTTCTGTATATTATAGCTCTCAAGTCTATATGAAGCATACAAACTTTATTCAAGCCACAGAAAGACAAACATTTTGCTAGAAAAATGCACAGTACCTGATCTTCCAGTCTGGTATGAACATTAAAATCATGTACAATCAAGTACATTAACAACCATTTGGGACAAATATTATGTAATTTAATGGAAAACTATGTAAGTGGCGCTCTGTGGCACGGTGCGATGGGAGTCCTGAGTCATAGCTGAATGCCGCAGACAGTCGCTGAGTGTGTGTACACTCATAGAAATCATAGAAATTAACGTGTTTGAATTTTAAAGACGTCACGCCATGGCACACTGCTGCGCTTCTTGTCCGGTGTGTGACCCCCTTGACAACTGGGTTAATTTACCCAAAAATGATACATCAATTACTTCAATTATTCTCATGTCATTCCAAACCCATAAGACTTTTGTCCATCTTCAAAACACTAATAAAGATGTTTTTAATGAAATCCAAAAGAGATTTCTGTCCCTTCATTGAAAGTCCTTTACACCTAAAATTGATGCTACAAAATGTTCATAAATACATCATAAAAGGATAAGTCATAAGTCTTTTGAAGATAAAAACTTACATTTTTATTCACATATAAACACTGATCAATACATATACTGTATAAAAAACATCAAATATGGTAAACAGAAGCGCAAACTTGATATTTGACCCAAGAACTAATGAGTTTTGCACGTGTGATGCAAACACATTTCAGCTTCCACAAAAACGAGTAAGGTTTTGCTCGTGTTTAAAGCAAGTATGGTTGGGCTTCTGTTTACCATATCTGATGTGCTCTGCAGTAAGTATGTGCACTGATCAATGTTAAACCGGTCAGTTCATATGGATTACTTTTACAGTGTCTTTATAAACTTTTTGAAGTGTCAAAATGTTTCAACAAAAATACATGAAAGACACATATACAGCTGCAGTCATATATATGCTATGATCTTTCTGATTGTTTGTGTGTAAATAAGGATTCTATTTCTGTTATAGCCTGAAATGGGGCAGTAGAGAAGAATAGAGAAGACGAGAGAGAAAGAATAACAGATTCCTAATGCCATTAAGTGCTTTTATAGTCCTAAGAGGCTCACGCACATACACAGAGGAAGAAAGACAATATAACATACTCATCCTTTACCTTCCCCTTGTCAAATTACAAACACATACACACACAAGCCACACTTTGAATGCTCTCTGACCTCACATGGTAAGAGCCTTAGTCAAATCCTGCACAGGCTTTAGGGCTTATCCAATCCCAATCTCCTCAGCACCCTCCGAGTCCACTGTCCGTGTGTGCATGTGTGTGTGTGTGTGTGTGCGAGACAAAATTTGTGATTGATTTGTGCATCATCATCTTTGAGTGTGATCAGAATCCATTTTAAACGGCTCTACTTGCTCTTTTTGACTCGCTCAATGCTCTATCAATAGTGATTTGCATAAATATCAAACTCGTGATGAATATTCAACGGGCTTCTAATGACTTTCGAATATGCATAATCTCATAAGATTTACTGCACACTGAGAGCTTGATGTGATAGAGAGGCTTAAAAAGCAGTTTTCTCATTTTCTCCGACGGATGTAGCGTGATGATACGGGTATTAGGCCACAGCATGTGACTTTGAATTAGCACAACAGCCGAGTTCTCATATATGCCTGATTAACATCCACTCAACACTGATAACCGACAAGATGCTATGGCTCAAAGGAGCAGAGATTCAGATCTTTCCATTTCCAATGACCTCAATAAAATGAATAGGCTATAATATAAAAACATTTTTATCAGTAAGGCAAATCTTCTGCTACTTGTGTTACAAATAAAATTGCAAGTTCCTTTTCCCATCTAATCCTTGGGAAAGTTGCTAATGTTGGCTTATTATGTTCTTACTGCCTATAAGCACAAATCCTGTACGTGAAGTATACGGTACCACAATCCTTTGTTGTGATTGTTTGACTGACATTTCAGGATGTTGATTAAATTTCTATAACTGCATGACTATGATTTAGTTACATTGGTGCGGTCACCATTGCTTTGTGAAATTTCGCAAATAGAATTTGTGCAATTGGGAGTTCTATGCAGGTTTTCGTGCATGAATCTTTAAATGCAAATGAGCTAATGTTCCCTGCCCCCTTTTCCAGAATACAGCTCATGCCTCAGATACTCTGCCAAAACAAAACATCTACTTAGTTATGATCATCATGTCTACTGCACTGAAAAAGCCATATCAATTTAAACTTCTGATATACAGTTTTCTGAGCGCACACATCTGAAGCACGCGCAGAGAAAGCTGCTGCACACAGTATGTGAGTACTGAACTAAGTGCTTTCATGCCCTATTGCACTTAAACTGTCAAATACACACAATGATATGTCAAAAACACACGTAATTTGCATAAATACAGTCACCTACTGTATGTCTGTGAACAGATCTGTATATTAAGTGACAGCAGCGTAATATACAGTACCTATACTGCTGTCTATGCTGGTAATGCCCCAAACAACCAAATAAAAACAGAAAATCACTCACTGCTCTTGACTGAATAACTTCTGTAGCTTTAATAAGAAGACATTTCTTACTAGAATGCGGCTTTTAAATGCTCTAGCATTAAGATAAACTTGGCGGATTGCATAGGGTGGGATCTATGCTAATACGGCAGTGTCCATCAACAGTTGTGGGTGGGGCCTGTACAAAGTGACGTCACATTGTACAGATTCTGCAAACGGCTTGTTCTGCGACACTGCTTATGATTTAAGGGGATTTAAAAAAAAAAAGAATTGGGTGGATTTTCATCATTATAGGTTGGTTGTGTACAACACACATTTATGTTCAAACACCATGTAAAAGTGAATTTTGCATAATAGGTCCCCTTTAAATAAATTAACTGGTGAAGCAGTGCTGCATAAGATGTTATGACTAGTTTTCAGAGAAAGTATCTTTGACATTTTTCAAAACAAAAAAGTTATAAACAAAAAAAATCTGCTAGTGCAGTAAGACGTGCACTATATGACAACAAAATCAATTAAAACAAGTCTTATGCTGTGTTCCTTCTCAAGTATAGTAAATGTATCATGTATTAAGGATTGTATGTATGTTTACCAGTGCTGGGGAAAGTTACTTTTAAAAGTAATACATTACAATATTGTTTTACTCTCTAAAAAAGTAACTAATTACGTTACTTAGTTACTTTTTATGGAAAGTAATGTAGGGATGCACGATATTGGATTTTTGCCGATATGCCGATATTTTTCAAATGATTTTGACCGATATTGATACCAATATATTTCCTTTTGTTTGGAAACAACACCAAGTCTCTCCTGTGCAGAAATTATAAGCAAAATATTTTTAATTTTGGTTAGTTTTTAACAAGAACTTATTTGTTAGAATTAAATAAAAAATAATGAAGGTTTTTTGACAGTACATTGAAGCTTTGAAAATAACTATAAATAAACTATATATCAATCGCTGCATTTTTCCCCCAGAAAGATGCAGTGTTAACCATAACATTTTATTTTAAGATTTAACATTTGTAGATGGTCTAAAGCAAAAGAGTTGTAAAAATTCAGAAAATATTTTAGAGCTTATGTTTTGTTTAAAATATAAAACATATTACACATTAATAAATCAGTATATATAAAATTATTTAATTTGCAAGTGTCATGTTTGTGATTTTTTTCATGTAAGCTATAGCTTCTGACCTTTAAATCAAAACATAATTATTTTTATGACATCAATTACCGCTTTATTTAATCAGAAACACAGTCTAAATGTTATTTGTGTAGGCTATTTTACTTTTAATTTAATTAGAAGTAGGCCAACAGCGTGGCAATTCATGTCTGAACAGTAGAAGGCGCAGCTCAAACAAATTGCATAACGAATATGGCGCAGGAGAAGAAAGTTCAACACTACTCAGCAGTAACAAAAATTAAAACAAATGTGTCATTTTTGATTAGTATGGTTGAATTGGATCATCGAAGGTCAGTAGCAAATACATTGGGTAATAATATGGGATTAAATACATAAATTATATTTGTATTTAACATTTAATTATTGCAGGTTTGTATAATATTCTGAGATTGCATTTGACTGTTTTTATTCATTTTGAAGAATACTGCATCTGTTTTTGTGCAGGTGAGGTGAGTAAATACATGTTCATATTTAGTCTAGAACTACAGTAACATCATGTTCACACAGTGCACACAATGCCTCTGCACTTACTCCCAATTTCTCTCAACATGGCAACACGAGAACTGTCAGTCAAGACATGGGAAACACAGTAACAGGCCTTATTTGAAAAAGTAACTCAGATATTTCCTTAAATTAAAAAAGTAATGCGTTACTTTACTAGTTACTTTAAAAAGGTAATCTGATTACGTAACTCACATTACATGTAATGCATTACCCCCAACACTGATGTTTACTTCTAAAGGAATTCTAAAAAGAATTTTTCTCAGTATGACTGTGCTCAGCAGGCACAGGACGTCAATAAACTTTTGGTTCAGTATGAAAATCAGGTTGACGTCAGTATTTGATGCCAGTTTGACGTTGACTTAACTTTGGATTTTGGTTGCACAACCTAAAAACAACAAACATCAACGTCAGCTGATGTTGGTATTGGACATCAAATTAACATTGATATTACACATTGAATTTTTTGTCACCCGACGTCGCAACCAAAATTTAACCACGTTGTGTGCCTGCTGGGTGGGCATATGCAGGCCATAACAAATATTTCTCCCCACACACACACACACACACACACACACACACACACACACGGAACCGTATTACTCCAATAACTGCTTAGAAACAGCCAAGAGTTTGCGTTAGGCTTTCAAACTAGCAATGGCATCTTGGGCTACGTAATCAGTGATGTTAAAAATGAAGTTGTGCACGCAAGCGCGTTTTAAGAACAAAAACTTGAAAAAAAAAATCAAATATATATTCTGTACATTAATGTATAATTGACTCTAAACCGTTCTATTATTGAAAATAATTACTAATGAACACTCCACTGATCCTCAATTGGTTAAACAAACAAATAGTCCCGCCACAAACTACCGCCATTGATTAAGCAGTTGTTGCGGAGTCTGGCTGGTCAGGAGAAAGAATTTGAATAAAAAACGACACTTCAACTTTCTTTGATTTTCAACTCTGAACACATGAAAAACGGAATGACATTCCTGTCCTTGGCTGACAGCCCTACCTTGATCGAATGGTTTTCCTGGGCTCCATGTTCCTGGTTCCTAAAGCAGAAAACAAAAGTTGATAAACAGAAGAGTTGATCAGCAGTCTTTGTTTAATTTTTCTGAGCTTCTGTATGTTACAGTACATAAAGTAATCCGTTTTGCGGTTTTAACTATGTATTGCTTACACTGCTTTCTCGTAGTTACGCTTACAAGCAATTACACTCAATGCAGACTGCATTATAATATTATCATGCAACTACAGCAGTATTAAGGACACAATGTAAACTTGGAAGAATTTCCTGTCAAACAAACAGGCAGATTAGAAAGACTCTGTTTCAATGGAAAAACAAATGCACAATCATACAAACCTCCACCTCCTGATTGTAGAGGAAGCATTGTGGAGAAAACAAATAAACATTAGACAGAACATTAAACACATCGCTTCAACAATACAACACAAAATGGACCACAACAAGATATGCCATAAACAAAGAAATAATAATGAAATGCATATATATATAGTTTGGCATTGTGCCTGTTTATACTGGGCTATTTGTTACCTGTCAAATTCAATTAACTGGTCTGCTCTTGTCTTCATGCTTAATTAACTAAGACAGTTAATATGTCAGTTTCCATCAAAGGTCCATTGAAGATTGATAGTACCGTATGGTGACACACACACAGATATGGATATGATATGGCAACAGTCGGGTCCTCTTGCAGTTACACGTTTTGATGATTGCCATTTCTTTCTCTCCTTCCTCTGAGTGTGTGTTTGCATGTATGGCATGCATGCAAATGCATTTAGGGATAAACAACAGCACATGAAATCCATTACAGGGTCTCCGTTAGTCATTCATAATATCCCTTCCATTCTTTCCCGCTCACAAAGAACTTTATCTTTCTCAGCCTCACTGCGTGTAAACACGGTCATTGTTCTTTTTCTCCTGTTTGTGCCTCCATTTCAGCAGCTAAACACAGCTGCCACCCAATCTACACCTAGATGGCTCTTGATTTTGTGCATTTGTTTTTCTGTCTCACTTTATGTCTTTATGTACAGATTATTGTATTCATCCAAGACCTACACAGAGGGAGCAGGATAGAAATAGAATTGTTTCCATTATGTTGCAAGCATTCATTTTATGAAAGCCATGTGATAACATGGCTTTCAGAGAGAATGGACAGGCCAACTGCTGTCTTGCTTGTTGCTGATGCTTTACACATGTACATTGATTGTGTTTAAATAAAGCAATATTACTTAACGCTAAGTAGGAAACCATATACTGACTTTCAACTAAACATTTACTGAATGTAATAAGCTAGTTCATTTAACAGCATTTGGACTGTTTACATGTCTTGCATGTTTTGTTTTTTCCTGGCTTAGGTAAGGGTCTCATTCTCTTCTGGTGAATGTGTGTGTGCGCTCTAGGGTTGTGACGGTATGAGATTTTCACTGTATGATAATCGACTCAGAAAATATCACGGTTTCACGGTTATCACAGTATATATTAAACAATCATTCTTATCAGTAACAATGACTCTTAAAGGGGTCATATGATGCTGCTAAAAAGAACATTATTTTGTGTATTTGGTGTAATGACCCCTTTAATGTATCAAATGAAAATGTACAATGTTTTATTTTTGGCAAAGTTAAAACATGGACAAACATGATATTCCTTGAAAACCATGTTTAAATAAATAATTGTATTATAAAGAATATTATTATTGCTGTTATTATAACTTTGAAGTATATAAAAGCTAATATATTTCTGTCATAATTTCAAATTAAATCAAACATTTATTTTGATGGGTTGTAGTGGACCTTTGAGCTTCAGAGTGTATTTGACAATGGTTTTTCTCAAATAAAACTAGGAAATGTTTATTTACGTTTTCTCTCAGAGCAGCTCTGCTGATGTTCATGTTTATGTAGACGCTGACACGATTAGCGTCATGCGTACTTCAGTATGCAGTAGATAAAACAGCGCCACTCAGAGACATGCAGAAACAAGAAGATTATTTATATAGCTGTCTCTTTGCACATAAATATTCACAGACACATATCATATCTACTTTTGATTTATCCATCCATCAGATTGCGGGTTTAACATGACATCCTCGTTATACTGTAAATTCCATGTTCACGACTGCACCGGGATTCCCTCTGCATCACGGAAATCATACGGCCTTAACTTATAACTTGTTATTAATGCGACACACAGGGCCGGATTTACCTCTTTTTGAGACATAGGCAAAACAAATTTTTGGGCCCCCTTCCCTATTAATATAATAGGCCTAATATTACCACCCAAGCAAACAAAAATATTTCTTAATCAGTGTTTTCTATCAAATCGAATTTAGTTCTTAAAGGGGTGGTTGACTGTTTTTTTTATAGGCTTGATTGTGTTTATGGGGTGCAGTCTAACATGTGTTAATGCTTTGTTTTTGTTCTGAAATCTCATGTGTGTTGAACGAACTAATTTTTTATGCACCTCATCCCAAACCTTCCGTTGCAAATTCCAAAACGTCATTTTAGAGCTGATAACAGAGCCGAGCCGATCCGTTATGTTACCAGCGGCACAGGCAATAACGTCAGCCGCGCATTCGCGCTCTCTTCTCTCCGACGACCCCTTCTCTCACACACACGTCTCATTCGCTCCGGTTAAATGCTTGTATTGCGCATTATTTTAGTCATTCCCGCAGGTTTCCCGCTTACACCAAAAGCGCGCACACCAGAACTGATATTAGTGGAGCGCACAAGCCGCGCTCAGTCTCAAACAGCTTGTGAGCCAC